TGAATCAAAGTTATTGATCAGCTGGTTTTTATAAAGCTGTTATGATGTTGGAATGTCACTGTGCTGAACTTCCATAGTCGAACATATGAACGTTCCCATAGAAAAAGAACATATCCCGAGAGAAACTGGATCGTAGAACTGAATTGCTTGACGGATACCACGGAATGTGATCTCGTCTCGAAACTGAACTCTGTAGTGCGCCCTCATTGTGTAGTGTAATATGAACACAATCACAAGAAATTTCGGTTTAAAGACAAATACGTAGAGCATAGGCCAAGTCTAAATGTTTTATTATACAATCCACTAGAAAGCACCCTATAGGGCGGATTTTAGTAGAAAACGATGTTTTATGATATGATGGTTTAATATCCAGGTGGAGTGCGAGGAATGGGGCAATGCTCGCAAGTGCCAGGCTCTCCAGGTGCACCTCGTGGCCCCTAAAATACGAGTTTTGAGGGCTTCATGTATCACATCAAGCTCTGTGGGTATTTACCTGTGGTCCTTGTGGACCAGGTTGTCCGGGGGGTCCTGGACGTCCAGGCATACCAGGAGGTCCGGGAGGTCCCTCAATACTTCCACCGTCAAGTCCAGCCTCACCACGTGGTCCGGGCAGTCCTCTTGGTCCCTTTGGACCGGCTGGTCCAGCTGGGCCGTTTACCTTTAAAGAAGAATTGCATAGTGTTTACTTCATTAGCTGTTTATCTGATCTGATTTACCTGAACAACTCGTCCTGGAGCTCCCTTAGGTCCAGCCACTCCTTGTCTTCCTGGCATACCCATCATACCCATTGGGCCTTGCATACCGGGCAATCCTGGCTTGCCATCTGTACCGTTCTCACCAGGAGCTCCCTTTGGCCCTTGTGGACCTTTAGCACCAGCCATTCCCTGAGGTCCGGGGGGCCCAGGTGGGCAAATAATGCATGCATCGTTGTTAATGGCCGACTCCAACATGCTGCCGTCCTGAAAAAAAGTATTGAAGAGTTATGTTTGAAAACTTGGGATTTTTGAATTTGTCCGAGTGCTAGGAGTGCCGAATATTAGTACATACATGGGTTTCAAATAAATTACCTTTCCATTTTCGCCGTCTTTGCCTCGTGTTCCGTCGGGTCCATCCTCACCATCGTCTCCAGGAGGTCCAGGTGGCCCAGTCGGACCTTGTTGACAAGGACAGCAGGTCGGATTTGGTTCGCTGTTGACTACTGGCCCATAGCCGGTCGCTGGCGCTGGATTGGGCGAGGAGCCGTACTGACGCTTAGCACGGTTGAACTCAGGCCCATCGATGTGGTGAATCTCAGCCCACATGTCTCTAGCACGAGTCTGAAGGAGTTGCATTAAGAGTGGCCCATGTATGAAGGTAAAGATATAATCGCTCACCTTGCAAAAATCGGTCTCAATAATAAGGTGAGACTGAAAATTAGCGACATAACTATAGAGCATAGGTAGAGTGACCACAGCTGCGATTACAGCCACTGTACTGACGACAATCGCAAAAAAGGCGACTCGACGGAGTTCCTTTTGCTCCGCCGTCTCCATCTGTGGCTAAATTCTCATAAATTACTGAATTCATAGAAATTCGAAGGAAAGACTCGAGAAATTTTACTCGAAAAATGAGGACAGATCGCGTTAAGAACACAAGCGCTGCTGTGCGTTAGTCTAGGATACGAGAGTTCGTCGGACTGAAAGTGCGTCGCGCACTTTTATACCGAACTATCGTCCCGATTTCACTGTCGCTTTTCGAAAACTGCCAAAAACTGGGTAGTGTGTTCGCCTCCCGCACCTCCAACTACGCACCTATGGTCACCGTTCGGGCGGGGATTCCATCATTCACTAATTGGAAAATCCATCTATCTAAGCGAAAAGTTGAATTTTTTATTTGTTTATAAAGAACTGTGAAAATAACTGCTCGATATTGAAACCGTAATTTATAAGAATTGAAGTAAACCTTATCAGTTACTCTAATTA